TAGGTATGTCTCATTTAGTATTTAAAAATACTTATACTAAAAAAAAATTATTCGTTATTTATCTGGAATTCAAATTTAACTGGGTGTCCTGTATATTATCAGACAACCTTAATCCAAGTGCTTTGAAACTAATATAGCATGAATATGGGTATGTATAGGAGCCCTAGTGGCGCAGTGGTTAAGCACTCGGCTGCTAACTGAAAGGTCAATGGTTCGAACCCACCAGCAGCTCCTTGGGAGAAAGATGTGGCAGTCTGCTTCCATAAAAATTATAGCCTTGGATAGCCTGTTGGTTTCTATGGGATGAAATGGACTCAATGGCAATGGATTTGGTTTGGTTTTTGGTATGTACAGTATATGTATATCATGACTAAATTAGCATGAAATGTGTTGCTAAATCTTTCCCAAATGTTTATAACTCCTCTGACTACATGCCATAACACAGCAATTGTTTGCTCCATAGGAGCTTTTGATTGAAAACATTTTCAAAGACATCAAGTCCTAGAAAGATATTTGCTAAGGTCTTTACTCAAATGTCACCTTCTGTAGTCACCCAATCTGAAATTGCAGTCCCTGCTTCCAGTACTTTATATCTCCCTTCCTTGCTTTTTCATCTTTAGTACTTACCTGTATTAAGTGTGCTACATTTTACTTGTTTATTTTGTTTATTGTGTGCCTCTCCCACTAGAATTAGGCTCGATGCGCACAGGAATCTTAGGTGTCCTTATTCAAGGCTGTATCCCCAATGCCCATAGCAGTAAGAGACAAGTTAAAGGTGCTCAATAAGTATTTTTAGAATGAATGACCAATGTCTGGAAGGCTACTGAGGACCTTATATTGCACACTTAATATACGTTGTTTTTATAACAGAATCTCAAGAAGATTTACACCAAATTAGAGCTTTGAGTATGATACACATGTGTGTAATCTTAATATTAGTCCACAGACACAGGTAAGTAAAGGTCAGGGCAGGGGCCAAGGGTGCCACCAGATAAAGTCAGGGTTAACTTAATCTGCCTCCCAACAAGTTTTCATTCCTTAAGATCCCCTAACACAATTGTGTTACTTTCTGGAAATTCTAGTGACAAAATAGCTCTGGAGGCTAAGCGCACAGGCTATGTGCCAACCAGCTCTGAGTTTGTATCTGGGCTTTGCCCAGGATGTGACCCTGGGCAGGTTACTCAAACAGCCCAAGCTTCATTTCCTCATCTGTGAAGTGGGGACACTCGT